TGGGGTGAACTTGCAGAAGTTCATCACTTGGCTATTAGGAAGAGAGTAAATTAGTTTGGTGTTATTTTGTTTGTTTGTTTTGATTTTCTCTGAGTAGGACGAAAAAAAATCTGTAAGAAAGAGAGAAAACACTTTCCTCGACACACAGAATAGTTTTTTTATCTTATCATTGGGTAAAGGCACAGAACCAGAGGTGTAGTGAAGTGGGAATGCATGGGCCATAAGTACCTGTTTCAAACGAATCCTACTGGCTAAACGCGTCCCGGTATTACACCACTCTACAGAACCTGAGTTCATGATCACGCACAATCCTGTATCCGGATCAGATTCTACTCCAGGGACGACACTGGCCGGCCCTTCTACTCCATACGACTAGTTGGGATCCAAGAGTGCCGATGACTTGTATCTAGAGGGGACGCTGATGTTAAAACTTGAGATCAAAGACTTCACCAATGATCTGGAAAGTACAGGATTCTTCCGAGATCCATTTTCGTGAAAAAAAATCATTTTTGCTAAATCTCATGTTTGTCATCTTGCAGTCGCATGCGAACGGCTTTTCTTATCTTCAATATTTCAGGAACACATTCTTGCTTGTGCTGGAAGATCCCCTACATCTGGAAATTCCCCAGTAAATACAGAAAAGAAAAACCTTGAGATTTAGTAACAGGGACGGAATGACAGAAAGTACTGCAGTGTTAAAAAGGAAGGCAAGTTTCTTTCATAAGGCAGCTGACGTTACACAGTTGTATAGAATATGGCGTACAGTTTCGATACAGGGGGTAATTATTAACTTGAGTTATTAGAAACCTGTTAAGACATTCTCTTACTGAGACTATTTCGTGGGCTGTTTTCCAGACGAGGTCGCGTCGAGACTTCGAAGCGCCTGTAGCTCACCCTGTCCCAGACTTTCTTCTATATTACGTTAGGGAAGTGTATTTTTGGTTACATTGGTTTATATATGGTCTGCGTTTACATTTTTTTCGAAGTTTATATTATTTTGATCCTTGATCACCGGGATGTTGTTCTTTTAAATGAAACCTGAGGGAGGGATAGTTGTTACTTTGATGTGTGGTATTAAAGTACTTACTGTTGTAGCTTTACGAATTTGGGATGATTTGTTCTGATGAGAAAACACGTAAAATGCATCCAGACTGAGTTGGGGTAGGATGCCATCTTACTTCTTGTCAAGATTGCCCGAAATTATCCCCCCGTTACCTTTATAATAAAAATAAAGAATATAGATGAAAAATAATAAATATAGTGTCAACTTCAAACATTTCCCCAACCATCCCCCCCCCCCCCACATCAAGCACTACATAGAGCTTTAACGGTCAATTATTAAATGGCGTTTACAGCACCAACTAAGAATTCGTTGAACTTTAAAGAGTACGTGACGGTTTGGCTTCACGTGCAAAATTGCACGTAGCCGAAGAATAGCATATACGATGCGTGAAAACTACGGTAGACCTAGATCAAATGTATGGATTTACTTTCTCTCCCTCGGTGATTTCTCACATAGTTTACCTTAAAAAAAGAAGTAACTTTGTGTACACACACGTCAAAATATATCAGAATAGAAAAATAACAAGAAATATATATTAAAGTCGACTTAGAGCATCTCTATTAAAACTTTAGTTTCAAGATTATTTTGGAATAAATGCTTAAAGTAACACGAACATTTAATATAACTGATATAAATATAAAAAAACCTGGTTTAAGTCTAAAGGATAACATCTCATTGCCAATCTTTTTCTTAGTGAACAATCCCGACAACAAAGCTGACGACTTTGGACTAGCCATGTACTCTTATCGAGAGTACATATCAGAGTGACAAGCCCATCAGTGGCACAGCGATATGTCTGCGGACTTACAGTGCTAGAAACCGGGTTTCGATAGCCGTGGTGGGCAGAGCACAGACAGCCCATTGTGTAGCTTTGTGCTTAACTTCAAACAAAACAACAACAAAAAAGAGTGACAAATTACCTCTAACATGATTAGTACTGGGTTTCTGATAATACCAAGATTTAATATTTTCTTGGTAAAGACAAACGTAAAAAATTTTTTCATTAAAGTATAGCTTCTTTTCATAAGCGGGAGAACCGAGGGAGGAGCACGTGCCCCCAACTTTTGGCCTAGTTGTGAAGTGCCCCTTTGAATGGGGAATAGAGACCCGTGTATAATTAATTATCAGGAAAAAGTCACTGTTTCAACATAGTAAATAAGGTATTCTCCCACCACCCTCAATTCGTATTTGTTCCGCCGCCTGTACTTCTTTTTTTAATCACTATTTTTCTTTTTCGTATGGGTTACTTTTTCACGAGCATTTATATGAAGTCGTGCGTAGATTCATTCTGTCTAATGTGGTAGAAGATCGAACCGTTCACTTTGCCTTAATTCAAAAATATTTGCAACATATAAAGGAACAGTATTTGTCATTAGGCTTAAGTAATTTATCAAATAAGTGATAGTACTTTTGTAAGGAATGGATTATTAAGATTTTCGTCAGGTAAGTTTTTATTGTTTCCATCCAGTTCTATGTTTGGAATGAATATACACAAATAAAACGGTTATTATCTATTTAATTTTCTCACAGAATACCCAAAAATAAAATATCTAAAAAAGTACATTAAGATTTAATAAATCTCTTCAGTAATGGAATCTACAGGTAATCTACAGGTCGCGGGTTCGAATCTCCATCCCACCAAACATGCTCGCCCTTTCAGTCGTGGGGGCGTTATAATGTGACGGTCAATCCCACTATTCGTTGTTAAAAGAGTAGCCAAAGAATTGGCGGTGGATGGTGATGACTAGCTGCCTTCCCTTTAGTCTTACACTGCTAAATTAGGGACGGCTGACGCAGATCGCCCTCGTGTAGCTTTGCGCGAAATTCTAAAAAAAAAACCAACAATTTTGAGATTTAGAAAATAACATTTGTTGTTTAGGATGACAGTGGACGAGTACAATGTGGTTTACTGATTCAACTAGCTTTTGTGACATGGATTTACAGGAAAGGTAATATAACAAATACGTTTGTTCCAACCACGTGGACTCTTATTAGCGATTAAAAAACAAACACAGACGATTTTTTAAATTAATAATATGATTTTTTTGAAACCACTAGGCCACAGTGAAATTTGGGAGCGGCGCACAGGCCACTCCAGCGCCCTCTAGCTATTATCATGCTTTATTATAAAAATGGAATTCGTATTAAGAATTCTTATTTTATATTTACTAAAATTATGAATAACAAAACACGATGGCGGTATGGGCTAACATTTACTTCTTATGAATCACAAAACACGGTGGCGGTATGGGCTAACATTTACTTCTTATGAATCACAAAACAAGGTGGCGGTAAGGGCTAACATTTACTTCTTATGAATAACAAAACACGATGACGGTATGGGCTAACATTTACTTCTTATGAATCACAAAACACGGTGGCGGTAAGGGCTAACATTTACTTCTTATGAATCACAAAACACGGTGGCGGTATGGGCTAACATTTACTTCTTATGAATAACAAAACACGATGGCGGTATGGGCTAACATTTACTTCTTATGAATAACAAAACATCTGTCTTTGCCAGTCACAGAGGCGGAAACTACGAAATTACCAGTTTGACTTATTTTTTTGGCAAGTCTTCAGACATTATTGTTGACAATAGGCTATCTGTGCTCAGTCCACCCCTCGAGCAATCAAATCCGGTACAATTACATGAACGTACTGCTTACCCACTGGAAACAAATGATTTTGAACACTGGTAAATTATATATAGAACCCAAGATTATATAAACACCGAAGTTTGTTTTTTACTTTTTTTTGTCTCTTCAACTTACTAGTTTTTATGAAGTTACTGTTTGTTTTTGGATAAGAACAACTCGATAGATATTATTTATTTTAGCTCTCAGAAAGCAGGGCTTGAGTTAGAGAATTTTATGTTCTGGAAAAAAAAAGTAAGCGTCTGACAACAAATCACGAGTCAGTGTTAAGAAAAACTTTGTTTGTTTGATTTGAATTTCACGCAAAGCTACAAGAGAGCTATCTGCGCTGGCCGTCTCTAAGTTAGCAGTGAAAGACTAGAGGGAAGGCAGCTAGTCATCACCATCGACCGCCAACTCTTGGGCTACTATTTTACCAACGAATAGTGGGATTGACCGTCACTTTATAACGCCCCCACGGCTGAAAGAGTGAGCATGTTTGGTGGGACAAAACCGCCACTTCAGAT